CCTAGTGATTATCTTTAAAAGTTTAAAACATAAGTGTGTGTGTGTATGTGTGTGTGTGTGAGAGAGAGAGAGAGAAAGAGAGCATACATAGAACCCTTATGTAAATATTACTTCAATAAATACCAACTTGCAACCAACCTGTGTGTCTTCCCCCAACTCCAGATTATTATGAAGCAGACCCAAGATATCATAACATTTTAGCTGCAGATATTTAAGAGTGTCTTACTAAAACAAGAAAGTTCTCTTTAAAAATTGCCATAAGGCACATACACTCACTGGGAAGAGAGAGAGAGAGAAAGCCCATGGGGCATGGTCGCATCATAGTCCCTTCTCCATATTTCTTTTTTTCCCAGGATTTTGGACACCTGGCATGTTTTCAAGCCATGAGGTCTGGGACTCCAACTGTGCCATTGGCTATGTGGGATCGAGTCACTTTAACCATCACACCACAGGCTGGCCATGAAAGTTCTTTTTAAAATGACCTTCTTTTTTTTTTTTTTGGAGAGGTTTTTGATATAGAGTGCATGCACTCATCAGGAAGACAGAGACAGAAAGTGAGAAGTCACCCCCCCCCTCCAAGGAAGAAGGCCACACCACAATCCCTTCTCCTTCATTCTTCTCTCGGAATCTTGGGCGTGCAAGCACATGTGCCTGGTGTGAGTTTAAGCCACCGGGTGCAGGACTCGAACTGCAGTTGACTACATGAGTGTCCAGCAATGTAGCCATCACCCCAACTGCTGGTCCCTAAAAGAACTTTAGTATACTGCTTGCAATGTTCTGCTTCTTGACCTGCAGGTATTTTCCCTCTGGAAAAAAAAATCTTCAGTTGCACACATAGGGTTTGTTCTTTTCATAATTACATGACACATAGTACAGTGTATACCTTGCCAATAAAATGCTGAAACAAAACAAGGTACCATAATACCTAAGAACTTGATTCTTTTTTTTTTTTTTTTTTGGAGAGATTTTTTTCGCTATAGGGCATGTGCGCTCGCCAGACAGACAGAGACACATAGACAGAAAGCGAGAAATCACCCCCCAGAGGGGATGGTCACGCCGCAATCCCTTCTCCTCCATTCTCCTCTCGGGATCTTGGGCCGCACGCACACACGCCCGGCGTGAGTTTTAAGCCACCAGGTCCGGGACGCGAACCCTGGTCGACTACGTGGGAGTCCAGCGACATAGCCATTACACTAACTGCTGGTTCCCAGAACTTGATTCTTTACTACCAAGTCTCTGATTAGTGATGAACAATTTTAAACACTATGAAGGTGCAAGCTTGGGGGTGAAGGACACAGGTGGGTCTCTAGAAGGTGCTGTGCAATTGGCTCTGTGGGACCACAGAGCTGCCTGTGGAACTGCGGGAGGAAGCGCCACAGGTGCACCCGCTGGCATTCACAGGCCCGCAGGAAAGATGAACCTTCTGGAGGGATGGAATATGGCCTTAGAGGACACAGCCCCTGGCAATGCTCCTAGTAGACATTTGGAATAGAGGGACAGTGTTCTCCAGGCTAGCTAGGGACTGACTCCAGGGCTAGTCAGAGATAGCGAAGGGTCTCCCCGTTGGCCCGCAGCGGGCTGGCCAGGGTGCTTAGCATTCTCAGCGCTGCTCTAAGATCAGTCCCTCAGGGCCGGGCTCAGCCTCGTGAGTGGCTCAAGGCCTCCTGAACACACAGCCTCAGTGCACGTGTACCATCCTGAGTGTAAGAGCGAAGAGGCAAGAACATGTACCTCTATTTCCCACTGAGGTATTTCTCTTTAGTTGCACTTATTTGCCCTAGCCTTTTTGTCCAGAACTCTTGGAATAGCTCCCTTCTCATTTCCCACCTCATGAACTCAGTGTGCGTTTTGGAGGCAGTGGAGTGTCTGGCAGCTCTCCTGCCATCCCCACTCTCCCAACCGTTGGATTTTTCCGCCTTTCACCCCACTCTTTGGCTTTTGCTTTATGTCTCTGAGTTACTAATCAAGTTAAAGTCAGGGCTTCCTAGTGATTATCTTTAAAAGTTTAAAACATAAGTGTGTGTGTGTATGTGTGTGTGTGTGAGAGAGAGAGAGAGAAAGAGAGCATACATAGAACCCTTATGTAAATATTACTTCAATAAATACCAACTTGCAACCAACCTGTGTGTCTTCCCCCAACTCCAGATTATTATGAAGCAGACCCAAGATATCATAACATTTTAGCTGCAGATATTTAAGAGTGTCTTACTAAAACAAGAAAGTTCTCTTTAAAAATTGCCATAAGGCACATACACTCACTGGGAAGAGAGAGAGAGAGAAAGCCCATGGGGCATGGTCGCATCATAGTCCCTTCTCCATATTTCTTTTTTTCCCAGGATTTTGGACACCTGGCATGTTTTCAAGCCATGAGGTCTGGGACTCCAACTGTGCCATTGGCTATGTGGGATCGAGTCACTTTAACCATCACACCACAGGCTGGCCATGAAAGTTCTTTTTAAAATGACCTTCTTTTTTTTTTTTGGAGAGGTTTTTGATATAGAGTGCATGCACTCATCAGGAAGACAGAGACAGAAAGTGAGAAGTCACCCCCCCCCTCCAAGGAAGAAGGCCACACCACAATCCCTTCTCCTTCATTCTTCTCTCGGAATCTTGGGCGTGCAAGCACATGTGCCTGGTGTGAGTTTAAGCCACCGGGTGCAGGACTCGAACTGCAGTTGACTACATGAGTGTCCAGCAATGTAGCCATCACCCCAACTGCTGGTCCCTAAAAGAACTTTAGTATACTGCTTGCAATGTTCTGCTTCTTGACCTGCAGGTATTTTCCCTCTGGAAAAAAACATCTTCAGTTGCACACATAGGATTTGTTCTTTTCCTAATTACATGACACATAGTACAGTGTACACCTTGAGTAAGGGAATATATGCACTTTTTGTTTTCTGTTAGAACTTATTCAATATATATGACTAGGAAATTCTTTTTTTTTTGGAGAGATTTTTTTGGCTATAGGGCATGTGCGCTCGCCAGACAGACAGAGACACATAGACAGAAAGCGAGAAATCACCCCCCAGAGGGGATGGTCACGCCGCAATCCCTTCTCCTCCATTCTCCTCTCGGGATCTTGGGCCGCACGCACACACGCCCGGCGTGAGTTTTAAGCCACCAGGTCCGGGACGCGAACCCTGGTCGACTACGTGGGAGTCCAGCGACATAGCCATTACACTAACTGCTGGTTCCCAGAACTTGATTCTTTACTACCAAGTCTCTGATTAGTGATGAACAATTTTAAACACTAT